ATTTTAAACGTATAAAATATATACATAAATATATATATAAATATATGAATATAATTATTATAGTGTTAAAATTAAAATCGTGTTATAGTGAGGGTTATATTATTTCTTCAATTTAATTATTTATCTTTTTTTAACGTTATACTTCTTGAATGACGGCACATTTAGCGATTGATGATTTATATACATATATATTTAATGAGATAAATCATTTATTCATTCACTCATTCATTCATTCATTCATTCATTCATTAATCTCAAAAGAAAAATACGTAGCGTTTCCGTATTGAAAATGCGAATGTAACTCTAATCACTTATCCTTAATCGTGCTAATCGCTATAACTCACTTTACAAGAGTCATTCTCTTGGTAAAATAAAAAGAAAAACAAAGTATTAGAAAACAACGCGTGATGAAATATTATAATTTATAAAAAAAAAAAAAAAAAGAAATTGCTCATGCGAAGAGCCGTATTTACTATACAAGCTATAAATAGACAAAATGAAATTGATGCTATATAACTTTTGCATACATGTGTTCTTAAACATAGATATAAACGCGATCAATTGATTATTGAACAAATTAGAATTATAGCGTAATTAATTGATGGTGCAATTAATACTCCTTGAAATCTTTTAACATAAGTTTGAACGAGTCATTAAATTTAAAGAAGAAAAAAAAAAAGACAAAAAAAAAACCAACAAAAAATGAAATTTAGCGAATTACTTGAATTATTATTGTTCGAATTATTGTTATTTCTTTTAGCAACAAAAAATTAGATAGTTTAATTTTGAGATACTTCCTAGTCCTTAATAAATAATTGAAAGGATCTATAAAAGAATTTTGGTAATGATATTTGTAAATAATTTTTTTTTTTTTTTTTTTTTTTTTTTTTTTGTTTTATTTTCTAATATTATTAAACATTACACTTGCGTATATCTTAATTAATCGTTAATTGTGTGCTTATGTAAGATCTATCAAACAGCGTCTCATTAAAAAAATGATCTTTTAATATACGCTTTTATGTATAATGATTAGAAACGAGTGATTAAAAAATTAATTGTTCAATCATTTTTTTTGTTTTTGTTTAAATGGTAAAACAGGAATCTGATGGTAATGCATATGTATCGATTCGTTTGAGAAGTTTCAAACTTTTACTGGAAGATGGCGTTACTACTTGACAAGTAACGCCAACTACCGGTTAATGCTCCAAGTTTTTCAAACAACTGCTGTGTCGATAATTATGATAAGTGATTAACAATAATTAAAAAAATTAATTTTATAATTTAATTTATATTATAATGATTAATATTATAACATAAATCATGAGATCTGTTTTTTGACATAATCCATTATCATGATTATGGATACACGCATTTTGTTACTATTATTATTATTAATAATTAAAACAATTGGCATTATATTTATATATTTACGCTTTTTAATATTATTCTTTAATTAATTATTAATCATTCTAATGAAAATCAATGCCTCGCTTATATTTTATTTCAATTATCTTTTAATTAGTCAATTCTTCTTCATAGTATAAAGTAAACTGAATATAATGAGAAAATGTGATCCTTTAATGCCAAAGTTTATGGTCAAGACCTGACAATTATTAAATTAAATTCAATTATTTATTAATTACGTTGCGAGAATATTAAGAACAATTAATTTAAAAGAAAGAAAAAAGCGAGAATAATATATCAAGCAATAACAACAATGTCGAAAATCATTTTTATCCTTTCGCGATAATAATAATAATAATCGAGATAATGAATGATTCGAAAAGGAAACCTTTGTCAAAAAAAAAAAAGAAAAGAAGAAGCACATGGACGTAACACGAAAAAAGCTTACACGATATATTTTCCAGATATATATATCGAAGTTGTAATTGATTTATTATTGTAAAGAAAAAACATGAAAATGGTTTTAAAAAAAAGAAAAAAAAAATCAAGAAAGAAACTAGAAGATGAGGAAAAAAAAACAAAGAAATAAATATAGAAACGATCGTAAAAATCTAAAGATAAAAACACAGAAATTAATTAATTAATTAAATAAATAAATAAATATATAACATTTAAAACAAAAATCCAAAAAAAAGAAAAAAAAAAGCAGGAAGACGAAAGGGGGAGTATAATGACGGAAAATAATAAAATTGACTAGCCAGAAGATCTATTGTATATGAGTATTATTTTTTTAATCTTCTTCACGTGTGTGTGTGTGTGTCTCTCTCTTTTTCTGTGCGTATGTAATTCGTCCTTTTTTGATTTTTGTTTTTTTCCTTTTTTGTAAATTATATTTCTTCTACGTTCTCTCTTTCTTATTTATTTTATTTAAACCGAACCTTTTTCGTTAACCCTTTTTCCTTCTATCTTTCTCTCTCTCTCTCTCTCTCTCTCTCTCTCTCTCTCTCTCTCTATCTCTCTTTCTCTCTCTTCTTACTCTTTTTCTTTCTTTTCTATGTATTATTATATATTTAATCGTGATAAGATCAAATTTTATTGATTAGCATGTAATAATCAAATTCCATTATATTATATCTGTTCGTATCTTGATCTAAATTTATCTATACATATTATATGTTATTAATAAAATAAATTGAAATTTATATTTAATAGAAATGTTAACACGTTGAAAAAATCTAACTTACGATTACTCAATTAATAATGCTAAAATGAAATTTTTTTGTATTTTTTTTTTTTAATGTATATATATATGGTGTTCCCGTATAATAATAATAATAATCAAATCAATAAGATGTTAAATCATATATCGTGATAAAAAAACATGTCTATATATTGTTATAACAAATCATTGTTTATACTCCCTCGTGCCAAAAAAAAGTAGGAATACACGTGACATTATGTGAAATCATATAACGAGATATTAATTTTTAATTAACAAATTTATACGTTGGCGTAA